TGTGACTTCATGAAGCTCCAATTCTTCCTGTGCCCTGCTTATTGCTTTCTCGACCTCCTCCGCAAAGGGAGTGAAGAAGCCTGCAATGGTCTGCCTTTGGTTGCAGGGTTAGATAGTGTACATAAGCGCGGCAGAAAACCAACCTTGTGATTAGAAGTGTATTTCTCTTGATAGTAGTGGTCTCATCAGACGCCGACCAATCTGCCATCTCAGTAGTGGTTTGAAACTCGAATATATCCTTCTCTTTCATCAAACGAAGGTTAAGTGTCTCGCCAGACTCCCGTCTGAATATACGCCACGCGACTTCCTCGGCAATTTGGACTCCAGCACGCTTGAGTATTTTCCATACATGAAGCCAGAGCTCCTTCTGTACCGAAACAACTCCCGATAGGCTTTCCAGAGATTGATAAATAACTGAAACGGAGCCCGTTCCGGTCATTTGGCATGCTGCTATATCTGTGGTCGACCCACCAATGTCGCACGAAAGCTTGACGTTCTCTGAGTTAGCATAGCTTCTTTAGGAATGTTTCATGAGTATCAACTCAGATATGACCTGAAAGGGAAATTTTGGAGGGAGATAATGTCCATACGAGTATCTTGCCAGCACTGTAGCGTGGATTATTGATTCCGATGCCATCAAAAACCATAGCAATTACAGAAGCTTCAGCTTCTGTAACCTTGGTATGAATGCGAAGGCCATGGGAATTTCGAAAGAGTGGATGCAACACTTCTTCGATCAGCCTGTGGAAGCCTCTGACTGTCGAAACTCCCCAACTTCCTGGCACAGTGAAGCTCCAATCTACCTCGTTCTCTCTCCAATTTACATAGCGCGGTATATGTGCATCAATACGAGCGACCGTGTATTGGCAGAAACATCGCAAGTAGTCTTGGGTCCATTTGTAAAGCTCTGTTTCCGACGGAGGCATACCTAGTCCGATCTCAGCTGGCCATTCCAGATCTGGCCGCCCAAAGAGGATCTTGAAGCCATCTACTTTATCCAAAGATTCGTGAGCGCAACCTTTCCCCCAAGAAATGGGAGTTCTTGTACCCTCGCCTGCCACATTGGAGTATATCAGCTGCGTGGGGGTTTTTTTGGTTGAGTCGACGTTGTCCCACTGGGGCAAAAATTTGCTGTGTTTCCACAGCGCGACTGACAATTGGACTTTGTTAGTTTTTTTGTTGCCCAATTATGTACGCAATCCAAAAACTTACTTGATCCAGTCATGCCTATATCCACGCAGATCACAGTACGCCCACCAAGTTGTTGATCCATTGTAGAAGATAAAGGATGCTCGTCGCGTTGAGCCCTATCGTTGGCCGAGAGTTGGAAAGCAATTTTGAGGGATAAATGGGAGTCTCTTTCGTTTGTCGCTTTTCCTCTTTGTGTGCTCCAGCGGTTTTACTTCAATAACATGTTTCGGGTAAGAATGGGTCGCATCACCGGATCAGGATCCATTTTAAGACAAAGAAACGCAAGCCGTTCATCTCACTTCCCTTTCCCCCTTTCTTCACATCCAGCATTCAACTGACTTCCAAAACTCTTTTCGGGGGCATCATTTGGGTCCAGTTTTCTTACTCGTTGAATCCAAGAAGACCAACATCTGTTCATCTGCTACCCCTCTACAATCTTCTCAACACTCCCTTTGCTCGAAGCCATCATGGCATCAAATCATACCACGATTCTTGCCTTGGGTCTCACCCTGGGGTTGGTTTTGCTGCTTGTCCTAGCATTCTTGCTGTTCGTTTTCGTGGGCTATCGCAACCTTCAATCGGAGCTCTCCTCATCGAAATTCAGTGAAAGGGCTTTGGAGCAAAGCCTTGCTAGGTACACGGAGGCTGGGAAAAGAGAACTTGTTTCACTGGGGGGTGATATTCGACTGGGTGATTTTAACACGGATGATGTTCGTAATGCTGCGGAAAAATATTGGTTCTTTAGAAGAGACTTGGGTTTGGCGACCTGGGGTCTAGATGAATGTCCAGATACTGTCGATCGAATTGAGAATATCATTTTCCCGAAATCGCGGCCCCTACCACTCATCTACGGAGAAGACTTCAGTTTTTTCCCCAATCCACATCACTATTCGGCTGCAGAGATATTCAAGCTTCTCCAGAATCGCGTAACTCACGACAGTATTATGTGTCATATCATAGGTTCGGTGCTGGACAGATATACTACCTTGACTCCGGTTGCGGATGTTGCTACATACTCGCTGATACCTTTTAGTCCGATTGATATCATGGACCTGTACCATTTTAGACGTCGTCTTCTTGGGGCAGATTGTAAGTTGACAGACACAACCATTCCTTTAGATCTTAGCTAATTTCATGCGCTCACCTAGGGATTGGCAACTTGAGGCGCTACATCGATCGCTATCCTTCTACTCATCGAATCCATCGCGCGCCTGGAAATCCCGAGAGACAATTTATTCGTAGCTTCATTGAAGAATTGTTCGGTCCGTATTATGGGGAATGCTCTCCAGAACAGATTGCCATGCGGAACCGCAGCATCGAGAGAGCTTTGGATACTGCGGTAGAATTTGGATACATGACAGCTTGTGTTGCAGAAGAAATGGTACATGTATGGGGCGAAAGACAAGAAGGTCATATCCGGTTGGCCCCAGATTTGCTGTACCGGTAAGGACAATCAATCCCTTCCCACAAGTCCTTGCTTCCTCGTTAACCCGAAGTTCTCACTTTTCTCAATTGTCTCTCTCCTTGTCCATTGCAGGATACTCCAAAAGCATCCTTACAGAGTTATTAATCACTCTCTTATTATCTAGGGACTCCGCTGAGGATCAGCACCACAATGGAAATATCCTGGTCAAAGGAATGGTCATGGAGCGGGGACTTTAGAATTCCATTTGGCTTATTGAAGCACCAATACGGTGGTTGGTTTGCCGCAATTTTTGGGGGGGGGGGGGGGGGGGGGTTGGCACTTCGATGAACGGGGATGGATGCAGTAATAAGATTAAGATTGTTTTCCTGGGTGTTTGTGTGATACTAAGCTTGAGCCGGCGCTTTTAATTTTATTGTCTTTTATTACATTTGGCGAATTATCTCTCGAGAAATCCTCAATGAGGAGGGGACTTTTGAATTGCATTTCATGAAAATTAGGTCTGACGCCTACTACCGCCGCATGTTCCCCCTTCACTCTCCATAAATCCCTTTCACAACTAGAGCTATCACTCTTGATATAGATTTATAACCTCCTGCTGGGCTTTGAATCGTCCAAGATCGCACTTTCTCTTTCAAACCTAGTTTGCTTGATTGTGGAAAGCTGAGTTGTTCCCTCCCAATAAATGCGGCTGGGGTGGTTTGGGTTCCATACTTTTGTTTAACATCGCATCTTGAAACTCCAAATCTCTTTATAGTAATCTGCTATCCCGAGTCTGCGTGAGACTTTTTATCAAAAATACCCGTGGCCAGGCGCCCCGTCAAGGATTGCGTTTCTGCTAAGCCTTTGATTATTTGATTGTTGTATTTAAGATATCGAGATGAGGTGAGTTCAAGAATGTTTCGTTTCATTCTATTTTCAATGCCGATCAGATCCGTCCATGTCTTATCCAAGATGCCACTCTCACGAGGTCAAACTGCATCCAAGAATGACAACTATATTAGACCTCCCGAGGTCCTTTGAATCCGTAAGTCTCCAATTATTCTGTACATAGCATCTCAATTGCTTTTCAGTTCGGTTCGAGAAGCCAATCCAAGACGCATTTCACCTACCGAGTTGCTTTTATTTCTTGCAATTTCGTACGACCGCATTCTCAGTCTTTTAACGGACCTGAAACCGCATCTTCAATAAAATCCTACTTATCGAATCCCCAAACTCAGGAAATCTAGGGTTCAGTGGGCATCTCTACCATGGAATTCGCAATTGAAGCCACAGTCTTCGCCATCAAGGGTATCATCACGTTAACTTCAGAGATGCACGGCAGCGAAGAAGAAGTGAGACGTATCAGAGCGAAAACTGAGCAACTGAGTTCCATCCTCCAGTCCCTCAAATCTACGGCAACGAAATATGTGCTTCCCGAGTCTGAGTTGCTTTCGTGGCTTCGGAACTTGCGACTCTGTAATGAAAGTCTCTCGAAGCTGCAGAACATGGTGTGGCACTGCGCACGAGGAGGAAATATGGCTAAGAAGCTCACAAGATCTTTCATGTATGCGACGCTCGATAAGAACGAGCTTGAGAATTTGTTCAATGAGTTTGCTGAGAGTCTCAAGTACTTCGAAAGATTGAACAACCTGTAAGTTTAGTTCAGGATTTCGGTGACTTAACACTAATTCTTTCCTACAGAATTATTCCTGGTGCTGTCTCACGTCATTGGCTTTTGGCAAACACTGGAAGATACTCATTCAACAACGTCGATGGGGGGCTTCGGGATGCCAAGGGAAAGTGAAAGGTTGTTGGAGGCTGGCTTGGGTAATATGCAATGATTAAATGATGGAATTTACTTGCGAAACATGACTCCCGCTTAACGCCCGGTACCTCATCATGATCGCGCAGCTCGGCGGAGGTTTCGAACCTCCAATCACGTGCTTTTCACGTCTCCCAAACCAAAAAATCTCCCCCAAAAAATGAACTCCTTAGTTTGCCATGGTTGTAATGCCTTCCTGTGAGGTCCAGCGTCAGTATGCTATTCAGGCGCGATGAATTGTTTATTTTCTACCAATAGGATAGCAGGATTCTGCCACAGGACTCAATTGACCCTCAGAGCTAGATGGGTGGAAAAGAAAAATGGTTCACGTGACCATCCTCGATAGGGGAGCTAAAGTAAAAATTGCAAAGCTCTAATCAACACCAAACTGCTCAAAAAATGCACTTGACGCCCCACGTTCCTCACTCTTAGCTTAGACAAAATTATTAGTTTACTTTTATATAAAAGATAATAAGATATATATTATATTATATAACAATTAACTTACACACACACAAAAAGACTACTTACCTTATTTAAAAAACTATCATAAAAGAAATCTAAAAAAGCAATTTTCAAGGATGCAACCGCCGTGAATCGAACACGAACCTCCACCTTGCTGTATAACATGGAATCATGTTACTGGAAGGGTGGAATCCTAACCATTGGACCACGGAAGCGAGGTTTTGTAGTTGTTGTGGCGAGAAAGTGCTTATTTGGCCTTATCTGGGAAGGTAAAGGATTAGACGAGAGGGAGGAATGTGATTGGTCAGTAGAGGGGAGGTGGGGCTAGTGAAAGAAGGGACCGAGGTTTTGACGGGGGTGGTGGATAGTAGGGGTGAGCGTGGGATTTTTTTGTGTGATGACCGAGGAGTTTTTGGACAAGTACATTTTTGGGACGATGGCGTCTTCGTGAGAGAGTGACATCATAATATGTACGTTGCTAATAACGAGGTGTTTCGTTTTCTGTCTCGATAATATGAATTTCTTAATGCAAATCTTTTCGACCTGGAGCGAGAGAATTCCTTGCTCGAGGGATACCTTGTTTTGTGAAGCTTCGGAAAATATTCAGCTGCAGAGAATGACACTTATTATATTCTCTCACGATGCTAAGGAAAATTATGAGTTTGCTACTTGAGAGTTCGCTAGCATAGCACTCTCTGCAGCTGAGCGGCTGATGTTACGCCCGCCTTACATTTTCTTTTGGCGTTTCCTGCCTCGCGAATTTTTGCTTGCCCTGCCCTTCCTCAAAATTCGAAGTGTTATACAACTCTCCGTTTCGATCTATTTCAAGCATCAATACTCTTTATTTTCCCATCATATTTTGTTGATATTCGAGGTCAACTTCGTTTCAATCAACAAAAAGTGACAAACCAACTCCCGCAAAGATGGCGATCCTCCCCCTCCTAACGTTCCTCAACCCCCTCACACACATCAACCTCCCCTTTCCAATTCTCATCCACGCCCTCGGCCTCTTATATATCGGTCTTACTACGATATTTCCCGGCATATGGACTTCCAAGGGGGCAGCTGCGAAGAAGACGCAGGAGGAAAATCCGATGTTTGGAGTCGCTGTTTTGGTACTTCTTCTCTTCTCTCCCTCCCGTTCTCAATTTTCGTTTCTGCTTCCGAGAATATTAGGGGAGAGGAAAAATAGCGATGCCTTTTTTGAGGGGGAGGGGAAGTTGGCTGATGACAAAACAGGCACTAGGCTTAGCCTACCTTTTCACATCCCACATGCCAATTGAAGAGAATCAGTTCTTGCAGGCGACAGTACCAGTAAGAATACTCCTAGGTGCTGTATGTTTATTAAAATGGTGGGTGGGAGGTTGCGATGAGGGGATGCGGAAAACGCTGCTATACACTGGCTTGTATGATGGAATCGGGGGTGCGGCATTGGGATTGTGGCTGGGGAGATTTTGGTGAGTTATTGGGAATGTGAGGAATTGGGGGAGGGAGGGTAGAAGTGGGGAAAGCAGGCGGAGGGAATAATGGAGTGAAGGAGGGAAGAGGGGGGACGGATCATGTGACATAGAGTGAACCATCAAGAAACAGTGCACCGGTGGATGGAGAGGAATGAATGATATGGGGGAGTGATGAAGAGTTAGTGTCTTTTTGGTGGCGAAATGATACTTACAATCAGATCCAGTAGAGAATCCCTAAGTAATAGCTCCCTGAGTCACGTGCTACCACGGAAGTTGCCCTTTTGAGCCGATCGACTTCGATTTCGAGATCCAGCTGTCCCAGATTTATAGTTCCTCAAGTATGCGTCAACAAAACCATCAGATGTCTGAGATGTCTTGCCCCTGTCTTGGTAATCAACGAAAACCCCAGCCAAGAACCCTAGCTGCCACGTCCAGCCACGATGTTGACATGAGGGGTTTTCGGAATCTCGGCCTGCGTACAAGTGCCGGACTCAAAACAGTGACATTGCCATGTCTCTCGGCTCAAAAAGTGCCATCTTCTCCAATCGACGATTTCAAAATCGCAGAAGAATATCAGCAGCATCAACACTTGTATCACACACTAAGAAGAGGTACCACAGACGGAGGAAGGTCCCTTGAGAGTGCTGTATCAAGTCGATTACATCTCCCGTGATGGAAAACCGCATGCAAACGCTCCGTTTCGTGTGGGTGCTGCTGCGTGGTACTGCGTGGTGCGCGGTGCCTCATGCATGCTTCATCCAACAAACTTTCGCGGCTATGCACCCCTCTGAGCCGGGGAAGCCAGACTGCATACAGCTCTATCGCATCCTTCCACTATGCTGCACACGCAGCCCTGCGACAGTTCTGTACTGCCACAATCTTGCTTGCTTGCTTTTGTGGAAGTATGTTTCCCCCGGTTCCCTGCTCGAGGGACAAAGGAAATGTTGTGATCATAAGGTGCGCTCGTAAGAAGAGGGGAAGGGTGACCAAACTGTATGTACTTTTAGTGAGGCTACCGAGGACTGCTGTGACGATGCAGATTTGTGCATAAATGCAACATAATCTGACTGGAGAAATGGAAACATCCTTATCATGGCGAGTGACGTACTCACCTCGTCTCTCAAACAGTATTCTCGATATGAAGAGCCCCAAATGACCCAAATAAGGATTTATTTTTCTCGGACAAACCACCCCGTGGTGAAAGTTGCCAGATCGAGGGGAGAAACGAAGGCCCAGGATGATGGAACACCCATCTCGACGACCCAAAAAACCACCCCTGGTCGAGCACGGTCAACGGCCTATTAAAAGGCCATATCCGGGATTCAATCCTTGAACCTGGCAGACTCAACGACAAGCGTCAAAGCTTTCAGAGATGCTGGGCCAATTGCATCTCGTAAACGCATCTTACTTTCCAGCTTATGCTGTGAAAGAACTGCTAACAACTCCGCAAAATCGATTGAATCCAGACAAAGAGAGAAGAAGCCGACGAAGAGAAGCATTGAAGCGCGCAAGAAGTCTGCTGTGCCGTGTGAAAGGCCCCTGCTTATCCCCATCCCGGTACTTATCACTCGACACACCTTATCCTGTGCCTCCGAATCACATCGCAGCACAGCCTTTCGTGACCGCTGCTTGGATTTCGAGCAATCATTTTCCCAGCGCGAGGGTCCTGGATGGCTTGGGGGACGATCCGCCACGTGCCTGGGCTTTTGTTGCAACGAACTGCTTTTCTCGAAGGTTTGATATCGAGGTCAGATCGTGCCCTTGCTTTATCTGAGACGCTTCTTCGAGTCCTGAAATTCGTCCCCGGCATGAAATCTGACCATGCTTATATTTGCGTCCAATGAGTGCCATGAGAGTGCCGGCGCACGGCTGCAGTTGTCGCCTAGGTCTGTGTAACCTGCACAAGACAGCGCAGAACCAACAACCGATCCGCAATCCGAATCCTTCGACGTTTTTTCTTTTTTCTCAATGGAACAAAACACCCTCAATCGACATGCGCTTCGATATCAGCATCGAGCCGACCCGTCAGTCACACTTGGAGATCTTGAAGGTCTCATCGGCCTGCGCCCGAATGCTTTTAGATCGGCCCTTGGGAGGATCTGGTTCAACTGATAAATTTCCAAACATTGCTGAGACAAGTGTCTTGAGGATACTCTCGGATTCCGACCCGGAAAAAGCCATGCAACCGTCATCACCCCACCTCCAACATCCCCTCCAAAAGCTTCACAGCAGGTCCAATGAGAGGATTTAAACAGGTGTACGGAGTTTTCCCACATCCTGGTTGGAAATGGTAGGGTGTTGTTAAGATAAAGCTGGCATCCTCGACCAACGAGAAATGCTCCTTTATGTTGTCGTACGACGAATCACAACTCCTTCAGGGCTATCACAACCGACAACCGAAATCGTCATCTGGAGAAACGTTTGCGTTTCATTGGGGAATGGAATCGTCTTTGTTGTGCCCTGGCAATTAATTCAAGTTTCTCATGCTTCCGTTTCTGCCTTTGTATTGTCGTATTTTCCCTATTCGCAGCCTGATATGCCGAGCAGTTGACGGCCGTCTGCGAAAAAGTATTGCCTTCAGATATCGGTCTGGACCGACTGATCGTCACGACCACGACAATCCGGAGAGTTTGGGTGGAGGGCCAGCTGTGGAGGGCCATGGAGGCTCCCCTCCTCGACCAACAGGCGCCAGGATGACCTAGGGGCGTGAAATCGCTTGATACGGTTCCGTATCACGGACGGGTCACCTCCTTGCAGGTTGGTGCAGCCGGTGCAGCCCTCTCCTCTCTCTCCAGCGAGCGACTTTTGCACGCACCACCAGGATTCGAGAGCAATTCTGACACCGCTGAGAGGAGCACCAGCCAACGTGCAGCTGCGAGAGCGAGGGGAGCTTGCTGGACTGCGCTGGACTACGCTGGACCAAACTTCCCTGATGCCCTCCATGCGATGCGCCCACCACCTTGGCCTCACTGCCCCAGTCTTCTCTCCGCAGACCTCGCTCATCTCATGCTTCACTGTGGGCAGACCTCAGAGCCACTCTGCTCTCCAGCCACGCTGCCCTCTCTGCTGCGCACGTCTGCATCCTCCTCGCCCAGTCTTCCGCGTGTCCTGTGCTGTCCCACCTTTATTTCTGCGGGCTGCAACTAAGGTACACGCTAAATTAACAGCTCCACTCCAGAGCTGCCTTATCAAAGAAACGGTTTAGCGAGCCAATCACCGTGGCCAGCCTCCCAATGAGACTGGCTCTTTCCCCCATCTCGAAAACACTCCGATCCGTTGTCTCCCTCGCTCGCAGAACCGTGAACCCTCCTCGTCGTCCACACCTCCACACATCACTGTTTCTGTACACCAGCACCGTTCACTCCTACCTCCATCGTCTTCGAGTTCTCCCGCCCCCTTCACACCGTCTGCTCCACACCCGACATTCTTTCCTTTAAGAACGTCAGCTCGTCGCAATCGCGCTCGAGTCGTGCTAGAGACTCGCCGGCCTGCGATCGCGAAAGCACCAGCTGCTTTGTTCCCACGAAAGAAATCCCACGATTGTCACACGGGTCGCACGGCCGCCCAGTGTTCCTGAATTACTGCATTCGACCGACTCGACAGGTCGCCTACCACGAATGAGTGCGACCAACCCTCCATAATCTGCAATCCCGCCTCTTCGTTGTCAACGTCGTTCGCACAGCATCGCATCGTCCGATTTCAGTTTCAAGAGATATCCGCGACACTTCACTTTCCGCTGCCGTCACGTCACGCCG